AGGGACTGTTTTAGGTGTGCCTTTAGGGTTATGACTGCCGTTCATAATCTAGTTCAGGTTCATGTTTATACAGGGATGTATGTATCTCTTTTCAGTGATGACATAAAAAGTCAGTGATTATACCACTTTCACAAAAAATGTCTCAAGAATCCACAAGTATGAATTATTTTAATCATAGCAGTGGAATAGGTTATGACTCGTTGGGAGTAACAGAATTATGCACAGGAACCACACCAGCCTTGGAAGGCAGAGGACTCAGATTTCAGTCTCGGCTCTACCACCGAGTGACACTCGACTTGAATAACTCATAATCTTTGCTTCTAAATTCATAAAAAGGGCTCTATCACATAGATATTTGTCAAAGGATAATTTGTTAACCAAATAATTAAAGCCATTTTTAGTAAAAAAATATAAAAATCTAAACACATTATATACAGAGTTACATTTGGCTTTGTTGCAGGATATGCTTGCATTTTAGGATTTTGAAACCTGTAGTAAATGAACCAAAGTTTTAATTCTTCTTACAGAAATAAATGGAGGGAAGCTAACTAGTAGCATATTAAAAATGCTATAAAAACTGGATCTTTAAGACTGTATCTTGTTTTTTAAAGCAGACATCTTCATTAATTTTTATGAAGAATGTCATAAAGCAAAGGTCCTTAATTGCAGGTAGCATATGCTGGATAGTCCACAGGAGGGCAGCAAAATGCAAGATTTCTTTTTCTTCAAAATCTAAACTCCAGGTAAAATTGTTTTCAGCTACAAGTTATAAATCTACAGAAATTAAGGTTGAAGAGCATAGACTAAAACCATAGGTAATGACCAAATTATAAAAGAAGATATGATTTAGGTAAGTAAAATTATTAGGTAGAAGAAATTTTTTTCTCTAGTGGTGAAAGCCTTCACATACATATTATAGAAAAACCTGCATAAAATTCTAAGCATACCTAAATATTAAAGTCCGAGTTCTACTGTACAACATTTATCCATCATTTCTAAAGATCTGGGTCAATATTTTTAAGTTGGCATGTGTCTTAGTGAATTATGAAAAGACCAGAGAAATACTGGGTTAGAAGCTCAATTATATTCAGCAAATACCAATGCCATTGTCATGGCATACCTGTAAGCATCTCATGTAAATGAAGTCTAATAAATATGACCTGCCATTGGTCTGATGTTTTCTAACAAAAGAAAAAGAAAAAGAATACTGGATGAAAAAGACTAAAAATAAAGTAAAACTATACATATCAGAGACATAATAATAAAATAATCTAGACTGATTAAATGGTAGAAAAGTACCTTTACTAGATATAACTGATTTGCAAATTAGTGAAGTTGAAGGAAAAAGTACTTTGAAAATATTTTGGAGTAATAAATGCTTGGAAAATCCACTACAGGTATTTCTGGACTTCTCTACAGGTTCAATATTTAATCATTCTGCTTATATTGTAATTAAAATTTATTTTCCATTTTTGGTCCTTAGTTATTACTTCATGAAGTTTTATTCTTTCTGACACGTTTATTCTTTCCAATTAAAAAGAAAAGTCCTTATTTTAGTGTTGAGCACTGAAAAGAACTTACTTATACTCGAAAGCACTGAGTTTATTTAACAGATTCCATTTTACTTTAAAAAGGGCCAAGTATGTTGTTACTGAAGAATGGGTTTGTTAAAGTGGCACATGCAGTTCTATTTAAGTTAAATCAAATTGTAAAATAACAAACCAATAAATGTGGTAAAACAGCATGTATGTCAAAACTGGTCTTCTCATTTTAATCAAAACTGAAAGTGCTAGCTTCCCTTTTAATAGTCAACTCAAGAGTAGACAATTTAAAAATCAATCTATTAAGTTTTCCTTCCCAGCATCCTTGAAATTGGGGTGCTGATATAAAACTACCTATAAAAGAGAAGAATTTATTAAAAGCTATTCAAAGGAGAGAGAAAGAGATGATGTCAAGTACTTGCTATATAAGAATATACACACCTAACACATGGCAGTCAATAAAAGTTTGGAAAAACTGTCAGGTAAGTAATTATGCATTGACACATTTTTCAGCTATAAAGCCTTTACAAGTGGAAACATTTTGTAAGCATAGTGATGATGTATTTTTAAGTTGAATGAAGTTGCATTACCTGTGCAAACATTCCAAGAAACACACACTGAAAGTGTGTGAAAAATTCCATGATTACATATGAAAAGCAATAAAATACTTGCTTATGTTAACACACTGCCTATGCCTACAATTTTAGCATTAAATTCATATTACCCAAGAGATTATACTGTTGCAGTTGCTATAAAAATAGTTACTAACATGGATCTTTAAGGAAAATTTGTTGAAAATTAACAATAATGGTCAGAAAACTATTAAAGAAATGTTTTCTAAGAGTAATTAGCTATTTTTGATCTTGAAGAAAAGCTTATCTGTAAAGCTTTTAAATGGTAGCTTTTCAAACAGACTTTCATAAGAGAATGACTTAGGTTGGGATGGGGTGGGTAAGGGCAGCTGAAATTCTTCTCTAATAAAAATCAACATGAATTCCTTGATTACTATAGGGAAAAAGAATCATAAGCCTTGTTGATATCTTGAAAACTTCATACTGTCATAATAAACACTTTAGACAATGTGTCAGACATGCAGGATAACTTATGAAGCTTATTTCAATATTGCAAAAATGAAAAAGCAAAAGGCAGACAATCATCTGAAGGTACAGAAATGCCAATCATTATTCAGAGGTTTTTCCCTCTTTTTCCTCAACCATTTAGTAAAGCTCAGAGATAGAGGAGATGAAACTGGGTTTTTAAATATAAGAAGTTCATGGTGCCTGTGGAGATACTTGTTGCTTTGAAGTTTCAGCTTTTCAAAGCTGGAACTCAGCAAAGCAACTGTGAATGTACAGGACTCCTGTGGAAACAGTAATGCAAAAACACTGTCAAAGAAAAAATCAATACAGAAATGAACTCAGTATTGTCAATGAAGTTGTAAACTTAGAAAATGCTATAGCATACATTTCCATCAGGGGGCACCAGTATTTAGCAGATGGTGGGATTCTCTCCTCAAGTAATTAATTGCAACGTAAAAGGGGCTAAATTAAAAAAAAAATTTATTACTGAGCTCTCTCTGAAACAACTAAAAAATGTATTCCCTCTTCCCAAGTCCAATTATTTTCTTTTTTGTATTAGATCGAGTAATAATATCTGTGGGATACCTGGACAACTAAATACTAAGATACTACAACTTTGTAAATTTGTTTCAGGTTATTAGTTTCCTGGGTTAGTTGAAATTATGCTCTGGGGAAAAAGTTCAAGACAACTGAATTCCTTCTCTTGACATGAGTGACATAAAATAATAATAAATTTCAAGAAACTGAAATCCTAAGCAAAAACATGTAAAGTAATATTAACGAAAAGGCTTTTTAGAAGAGGATCACTATATACATACAAAACTCTTCTTTCCAATAACAGGAAAGAGGCGAGGAAGATGATAGCAGGTAAAAAATACAAGAGACTCTATAATAAAAGCAGCTCATTGAAAAAAGTGAGGTTCTGTTTACAAGGCTATTGTCAAGTAATCTAAGGAATTTAAGAGACCCCAACATATTTTCTGGAATTAAGTAAGAAGGTAAAGATCCATAACTTGCTAATATAATAAAATAAAATTAAAAAAAATCCATAACTTGCACCACTAAGGTCAAACTATTTTGTATTTATTACAAATTTCTAATGGCTTACTTTTATCCAACACCTATCATGTGACAAGGATCTTATTTAATCCTACCAACAAGTCTACAGGACAGATTTTCCCTTTCATTTTATAGATGAGGACAGAAGTTACTTTACAGGGATCAGATACACAGTAATGGCAGAGCTAAGGCTCAAACATGAGTCTGCAGGACTCTGTTGCATCGCTGAACTACGCACTGTTGCATTGCTAACACATTGTCTTAGGCCTTCAGCATTCATGCAAAAACTCTAGTTTAGATCCTCTGTGGATCAGTACTGACCCACACCTGAGCTATGGAGTTATGCTGCTACTAGATTTTTGGTTCCTTCACTAAAAAATTGGGCTCTGAAACTTAAAAATGTAAACACTACTTACTGCTGGTCATTTCATTAAGATCTTAAGGTAGTCTAGTACAGTGAATCTGGAAAACCAGTTTGAGGGATTTTTTTTTTTCTTTAAGTGAAGGAGATGGACTGATAGTGCTCTGCTTGAATATTACAATCTGACCTGAACATTAACAAAGCACCCACAGTGTGTTCTACAACATCAAAGTTCTGAGGGTCCACATATATGTAAACCTCACCTCTCATAACTCAAATCAAACTTTTTTTATTCTTGTAGTGAAAGTTAAATAAGTAAACATAATGGACCCCTTATGGAATTCTAACTGATGAATTTATAATAGTTATAATAGTTCAGCTAGATATTAACTCAAATATTTTTTTCACCCAGATGGACACATTTATGCACATTCATATATATGTATATATATGTACTGGTGGCTGTGGGAGAAAGTGGAAGAATGAAAGAAGATACCCCTTAATGTCAGGAGACTACTTTAAAGTAAGTGCAGTCAAGCTCTGGATCATCTTCACTGAAAGGCTAGGAGTATATTTCAGTGAATGAGGATCAAATCTTCAAATGCTTCAAATCTTACTGCAGATTATCTTTAGGGACAGAAAATATATCCTTTACCATTAATATTGGTCATTAAAAAACATCACAGATTTTGGGGTGAGAAAAAAATCTTACAGTCTATCAATCTCAGTTGAATCTACTTTAGTCAGCCTTTTTTTAACTAGGGTTCTAGGAGAGAAGTACAATACCCTAAGGCATCTATATATAAGTAATGAATTAATTTCCTTCCTATGTATCTAGAATTATACTAGTGATGTAAAATCCCTGGGAAAAACTGAGAAAAATCATTTTCTGTGTTCTGTTGATCAGAATAGGAACCCTGGTTGAGCTCATTATTTTGCCAGCATTTAACAGCTGCTTACCACTGCAAACAGAAGAGGTGATGTTGTATAGAAAAGGATAAAACTGCATACAGCGTATCAATTTCAGGCTGTTTTCACATTCTGGGCATTTGGTAGTTAATTTCAAAGCCTGTCTAAAGGCCTCAAGTGCCCCACTGATATTCTTCAGAGCAAGATAAGCATTTCCCAGGCTCAAAAAAGTCAGGGGCTGAAAAGAAAAAGAAAAAAAAAATCAGAAAAATGTTAGTGAATTAATATTTCCTGAGAGTTACAAAACTTTTAAAGTATATATCCTTTAGCTTCTTTTAGGTTATCCCATAAAAGTTAATGGCGAACTGTCCATTTTATCTACATCAGCCAATTCTACACTGTAACCGATATAAATTTATATTTTACCTTTTTACTAAAATAAAATATAAAGTGTGTAATATACACTAGTCTTAAGTGTACAGCTCAATGAATTTTTATATGTGTATATATCCCTGTAACCACCTCTCATCTCAAGATATAAAACATTTAGAGTGTTTCTAACACCCCAAAAGATTCCCTTGGGTAACCCAACCCCAATCTCAGATGTAACTAGTGTTGTTATGTTAGCTCTACCGGTCCTTAAATTACATATAAATGTAATCAAACAGCATGTTCCCTTCCATGTATATATAAACTGTACCCTTTTGTAGATTCTTTCACTCAGTACAATATCTAAGGTTTAAGAAACTGAATGTTTTTTGTGCATCAGTAATTTATTTATTTTTTTTAAATTAATGTGTAATGTCTACCATGTGAATCCACACAGTTTGTTTATCCATTCTCCTACTGATACGCATTTGGACTGTTGCCAGTTTTGGGCTATTATGAATAAAGCTACTGTGAACATTCTTTTTTTTTTTTATTTTAAAGATTTTATTTATTTATTTATTTGAGAGAGAGAGCATGAGAGCGGGGAGGGTCAGGGGGAGAAGCAGACTCCCTGCTGAGCAGCGAGCCCGATGCGGGACTCGATCCCGGGACTCCAGGATCATGACCTGAGCCGAAGGCAGTCGCTTAACCAACTGAGCCACCAGGCGCCCCTACTGTGAACATTCTTGCAACTATCTTTTGATAGACGTATTGCTCATTTTCCTTGGATATATACTCAGCAGTGGGTCTTAAGGCAGGCATATATTTAGTTTTATGAGATATAGTTTTTTTTTTTTAAAGATTTTTATTTATTTGAGAGAGAGAGTACGAGTGGGGGTAGGGGCAGGGGGAGGGAGAGGGACAAGCAGACTCTGAACTGAGCGTGGACCCCGAGGTGGGGCTCAATCTCATGACCCTGAGATCACAACCTGAGCCAAAACCACGAGTCGGATGCTTAACTGACTGCCACAAAAGCGTCCCACAACCAGAGTTTTCTAAAGTGGATGTACATATTTACACTCTTATCAGGAAGTATGAGAATCTATTGACTTAGGACTGTCAGTCTTTTAAATTTAGCTGTTTTAGTGAGATGATGAAGTAGCATCTCAATGTGGTTTTAATTTGTATTTCCCTGATTAGTAATGATGTTGAATATTTTGTCATGTGCTTATTGGCCATTTGGATATCATCATTTCTGAAGTGCCTATTGTTTTCCCCATTAAAAAAAAAAGGTTGTCTTTTTCTTACTGATTTGAAGTTCTTTATATATGTACTAGATGTGGGACCTTTGTTGGAAATATTTATTGCAAATATTTTCTCCCAGTCTGGGGTTTGCCTTTTATTCTCTTACTGGTATCTCTGATAAACAGAAATTCTTAATTTTGATGATGTTCAGTTTACAGATATATACATGTGTATGTATATATAAAAATATTTATATATTTATACAAATATATATTTTACAGTCAGTGCTTTTTTAAATCTTTGCCTACTATAACATCATGAAGACCTTCTCTTATTTTTTCATCAAGCTTTATTGTTTCATGTTTCACATTTTGGTACATGATCCACCTCAACTGTGTATGAAATTCGGGAGGAGTGAAGGTTCATTTCTTTTTCCATAGGGATATCTAAGTATTCTAGCACTACTTACAGAAAAACTAATAGGTGTCCCCACCCCCCTGAACTACTGGTGTGCCTTTGTCATAAATCAAGTGACTAAATATACAGGGCCGATTTCTAATTTTTCTATTGTGTTCTATTGGTATGTTTGAGTATCCTTGTGCCAATACCGTATTGACATAATTACAGCAAGTCTTGAAATTTAGTAATATAAGCCTCCCAACTGTTTTTTTCTCCCCCTCACCCACAAATTTTCTGGCTATTCTAGATCCATTTCTGTGTAGATTTTAGAATCAACTTATCCATTTACACATACATATACATGCAATAGCTGGGAGTTCAGGATTAAATCTATAAATCAATTCTGGAGAGAACTTACATCTTTTTTTTAAATTTAATTTTATTATGTTATGTTAGTCACCATCCATCATTAGTTTTTGATGTAGTGATCCACGATTCATTGTTTTCATATAACACCCAGTGCTCCATACAATATGTGCCCTCCTTAATACCCATCAACGGGCTAACCCATCCCCCCACCTGGGAACTTACATCTTAACAATACCGAACCTTCCAATCTGTGAATATAAGGTCTCTCCACTTATTTGGGTCTTCTTTGTCTTAGCAATATTTTGCAATGCAGTAGAGAAACCTTATATATCTTCCTTTAAATTTATTTCTAGATATCTGATTTTTTATGCTATTATAAATAGCTTTTGTATCCTATTTTCCAATTGTTTGTTGAGACTGTTTTTATAAGCAGCCCGAAGTATTCAGTTTAGGTCATTTTAGTTGAAATACACCTATGCTTGGCAATTTGTATTTGCTTGTGTACAGACCATTTATTTTACACTTATTTTATCATTAAAAATATTTTAAAGGATCTAAGAATGTTTTATTTTCAAACTGTACAACATATCCCTATGAAAAGCAATACCTATAATTTATCCAACTATTAGCTTTTTTTTTTTCTTTCTTCCAACTACTTGCTTTTGATTCAGGCTGTTAGGTCACCCATAATATCTCACTATAACCAAGCCAAGGTATATAAAATATTCCAGATTACAGAGGCATAATCTAAGTAGCTCTCAGATTACATTTAAAATTTTACTTAGTGGTTTATACCCAGATGCAAAATTAAATCCCATATTTAGATTTCAAAGTGTTTTTATATTTTTACATAAGGAAACAAAATGTTTAGTCCTATGACCAGAATGATGGTTGTACAAATATCTTATATTGAGATAAACTAATTATTTTGGAAAAAAAATGAATTTTCATCAGTTCATCCAGAAAATAACTACTGAGTGTTTACCAATGTTTTAGATACGGGGGACACAGCAGAAAATAAGAAAGGTAAGTCCCTGCCTTTGTAGATTTTTAGTCAAGCGTCACAAAACCATAGGGGTATCACCCAAGTATGAGAAGAACGTGATGGAGAAGAGTATAGCAGGGAAGAGACGTTAACTAGACCAGAGTGGGTAACGGAGTGCCATTTTAAATAGTGTAGGAAGGGAAAGACTTACTGAGCTTACTAAGTAGTCAGTATTTTAAAGGATTTTTAAGAAGATGAAGTAAGATATCAAGAATCTTGGTGGAGTGAAGTATTCCAAACAGAAAGAATAGAAGGTGCAAAGGGGCTGAGGTGGGAGCATGCCCAGTATGTTCAAGGAACTGCAGAGGTAAGTGAGGCTAGAACAGAATGAGCAAAGGAATGATTTCACGGATATGAGGTCAGAAAAGTAACAAGGTCATGTAGGACCTTCTACACTATGGAGAACCATTGAGGAAATTTGAACAGACAAATGACAACATCTGACTTTTTATAAGGATCTTACTGAGGGGACAAAGGCCAAAAGCAAAGAAGTTAGGCAGGAAGCTAATGAAATAATTCAGATAAAAGATAATGGTGTATTGGATCAGACAGCAGTGGAGATGATGATAAACAGTCCAATCCTGGGTGTATTTGGAAAATACCAGCAAGGTTAGTTAATAGACTGAATTTACCCTGAAAGAGGAAAAAAGGTATGAAGGATGTCTCCAAGTTTTTGTCCTGAGCTACTAGCTTTATAGTTTCCTGAAATGGGAAAGACAGAGAAGAAAAGACTGGAACAATGTAAAGGAGCTTAGTTTTGCCCTTTAGTTTTAAAGTATGTTTTAGACATCCACATGGAGATGGTCAAGTAAGCTGCTGGATAAAGGAGTCTGTAGTTCAGAGCAAAGGTGACAGGTGATTCAAGAGGGAAACAAAGGGTTCTCAAGATGTGGTGCTGGAACAACTGGATGTCTATGTGATATGAACTTTGATGAATGAACTTTGATCCCCACTCAACATTACAAAAAAAATTTAACTTGAAATGGATCACAAACCTACATGTAAAACCTAAAACTACAAATCATCTAGAAGACAACATAGGAAAATATTTTAGTATATTTGAGTCAACTATGTAAAGACAAGTAATAGACAGCAAAACCAAAGTAGAACTAATTGTTTTCAAACTTCTTGTGAGGATACCTTAAATCTAACAATAAAAATCAAAAGAGAATAGATGGGCAAATTGAAGGGTATTTTTAAAAGATAAGATAAAAAGAGAAAATATTTTTTAATGTATGATGCAGTTAAAGATTTTGTATAAAGAGTTTGTATAAAATAAAAAAACCCTAAATTCTAACAAAATGAGCAAAATGCATATACAAAGTTTTACTTTAAAAATACAATTAAAGGGATGCCTGGCTGGCTCATACTGTGGAGCATGTGGCTCTTGATCTCGGGATTGTAGGTTCAAGCCCTGCATTCAGTGTAGAGATTACTTAAAAAACAAAACAAAACAAATCTTTAGAAAAAATTAAATAAGAAAATAAAAATACAATTAAAGGATAAAGAAATTTATAACACAGGAGTGAAATTTTTTAAAGTAAATTTGTTTTACAAATGTTAAGTCAGAGCCAGTGTGACATGGCCAAAGGGGGTGTGAGCTCTGTGGCCAATCTCCCGGAGTTCAAATAAATCCACGCTCTGACACTTTTGGTAAATCCCTTTGCCCGTATCTTTATCTATGAAATGGGTAAATCTTACCTCACAGGGTTGTTGTGAGGATTAAGTGAGTTATCACATGTAAAGTGATCAGTATGGTGCCTGGGTCTAGTAAACAACAATAAAAGTTAGCAGTTAGTTCAATTGCCCAATTCTGGTGAAGCTACAGATGAAATGAATACTTTCCAATCTTGATGGCAATATATATTGGCCCAAATCTTTTGGTAGATGTTTGGCATTTTATATTAAAGCCATCAAAATACTCATTTGCTTAGTAATTCCACTGCTAGCAATCTTTCCTAAGAAAATTACCTGGAATGCAGAAAAAGCCTTATGCAGAAAACCATCAGTGATAAAAGGTAAGCACTATCAGCAACCTAAACATCCAGAGCCTTCCCTTTGGGGGCCCAATCATCACATCCCATATATAGCATCCGTTCCCACTGTACCTGCACCTGGCCCATAGCAAACATTTGATATATATTTGATATACTTTGGCACCAGGCCTGTTGTACACTATAGCAATTATAAACGTTGGCTTAAAATCTACCTGTGAATTTGTGTATTTCAAGGGAAACTTTTAACAGCAATATTTTCTTCTCATGCTTAAAAAATTAGTTCTGAGATATCACAAATAAACCTAAACCACTCATGCACACTTCTTTTACAAGTTTTTTTGGAGAGGCGCCTGGGTGGCTCAGTCCGTTGGGTGTCTGACTTCAGCTCAGGTCATGATCTCAAGGTCCTGTGATTGAGCCCTGCGTTGGGCTCCCCGTTTGGTGGGGAGCCTGCTTCTCCCTCTGCCTCTGCCCCTCCCCCTGCTTGTGCTCTTTCTCAAATAAATAAATAAAATCTTTAAAAAAAATAAGTAAAATAAAAAAATTTTTGGATATAAAACTTAGGAACATTTAAACACTAGGTATAAGAGCAATTTTTTTTTTTTTAAGATTTTCTTTATTTATTTGACAGAGAGAGAGTACAGGCAGGGGGAGCAGCAGGGAGAGGGAGAAGCAGGCTCCCACTGAGCAGAGAGCCTGATGTGGGGCTCGATCCCAGGACCCTGGGATCATGACATGAGCTGAAGGCAGACGCTTAACGACTGAGCCACCCAGGCGCCCCGGGTATAAGAGCAATTTAATTGTATATTTATTAAACTGTATTTCATCAAACCTAAGATGTCATCAGTTGTAACATGCATCGTTATTTCAGAGATGTTAAAATATTAAAAAAGAAGTTGTATCTTAGAAACTATGAACTAGAGTAATTAACTACACAGCAGTGATTAACTCCATGCGCTGCATGTGGGAGGTTCAGGGCACGAATATTAACCCATCTATCTATTCTTATCAATGCAACCTTTAAACTGTGTTCTGGCTTGGTTGGTATACAGATACCTATAAATTAAAGCTGTAAAACAGTAAAATATTAAGCAGCAGGCATACAGTGATGAGTAGATAAAGAAAGAACGAGATGTTTCAGACTGACATAAAAAAGTGGCCGTGTATTTTTAACAGCTATGTCACTCTTACTTAAACATAAGTTCCTAAAAATAAATTAACTACATAATTATAAATTTCACTCATTTAAAATAAAGAAATGACACAAAACAAGAGAACTACAGGCCAATATTTCTGATGAACATAGTTGCAAATATCCTCAACAAAATACTAGCAAACTGAATCCAACAATACATTAACAAAAATCATTCAACACAATCAAATGTCATTTACTCCTGGGATACAAGGGTGGTTCAATATTCGCAAATCAATCAATGTGATACATGGCATCAGTAAGAGAAAGGATAAAAACCGTATGATCACTTCAATAGACACTGAAAAAGCATTTGACAACGTACAACATCCATTCATGATAAAAGGCCTCAACAAAGTAGGTCTAGAGGAAACAAACCTCAACATAATAAAGGGCATATATGAGAAACCCACAGGAAACATCACCCTCAATGGGGAAAACCTGAGAGTTTTTCCCCTAACCTCAGGAATGAGACAAGGATGTCCACCCTCACCACTTTTATTCAACATAGTACTGGAAGTCCTAGCCTCAGCAACCAGACAACAAAAAGAAATAAATGGAATGCAAATCAGTAAGGAAGAAGTAAAACTTTTACTATTTGCAGATGATGTGATGCCATATATAGAAAAGCCTAAAGACTACACCAAAAAATTAATTAAAACTGTTAAGTGAATTCAGTAAAATCATAGGATACAAAATCAATGTGCAGAAATCTTTTGTATTTGTATATACTAATAACGAAACAGCAGGAAGAGAAATTGAAAAAACAATCCCATTTACAACTGTACCGAAAATAATAAGATACCTAAGAATAAACCTAATTAAAGAGGTGAAAGACCTATACTCTGAAAACTGTAAAACACTGATGAAAGAAATTGAAGAGAACACAAACAAATGGAAAGACATTCCATATTCATGAATTGGAAGAAAAAATATTGTTAAAATGTCTATACTACCCAAAGTGATCTATACACTGAATACAATCCCCATCAAAATACCAACAGCATTTTTTGCAGAACTAGAACAAAAAATCCTGAGATGAATATGGAACTACCAAAGACCTTGAATAGCGGAAACAAGCAAAGGAAAAAAAGAGAGAGAGAGACAAACCAAGAAACAGACTCTTAGCTATTGAGAACAAACTGATGGTTACCAGAAGAGAGGGGGGCAGAGGCATGGGTGAAAGAGGTGATGGGGATTAAGAAGGGCACTTGTTGTGATGAGCACCAGGTGATGTATGGAAGAGTTGAATCACTATATTGTACACCTGAGACTAATATAATACTGTATTTAACTGTAGTGGAATTAAAATGAAAAAATAGAAATTAAATATATCTAAGAGAATCTGGGAGTAAAAACAAGAAGATACAGAAAAATGTCATTAGCATGATTCTACATTTGCACAGAGTAAGACAAATCAATATAAAAAAATAAACACATCGAAAATAAGATAAAACAAAATCTGTTTCCTACCATCTCAAAGTATGCAAACTCTACTCATAAAAATATGAGGGTTTTTTATGTCTTCCCCAGAAAAGTACACGTTGTACCCTGGATCTGAGTTACCCCCACATAGTACGTGGAGCTGCCAAGAAACATAAGGCCTCACCTCAGAGCCATTGATGGCCAAAGCTTGAAGCAACAGCTTAGTGGCGTCAAGATGGAGACCATGGTGAATCAAAAGGTTGGCCAAGTTCACAAGAGGAATGTCCTGGTATTGAAGTGGAGCCAAATTCAAAGCCCTCTGAAGACAAGCAAGAGCAAAAGTGCTGTTTCCTACTGCTCTCCAGTAGAGTCCAGCCTCATTGAGTATCAGCCAGACGGGGGCATTTGGCTGAAAAACCCAAAATACCTCAGTTAATACAAGAATACAGTACTAGTTCTAACAAGGATGTTTAATGCATGCATTTTAACTTTTAATTACAATTACTAAGCATTTAAATTTCAGATGTCTAAAGCAGGTGATTTACCTTATTAATAGCGTGAAATAAGAATGACCCAATTTCTTCTTCTGGGATAGTATAGTTATTAATACGGGAAAGCAAAATCTGAAAATATCAAAAGGAAGACTGACTCAATTGAAAATAACAGGGAAGACATTTGAAAGAATTCTATAGATACCAGTCTTTACTTGAGCTCCTCAGGAACACTAATTTGAATAGATACTTATAATCATATATCTATATATATAAAACATGAGGTCATCAATATACCAACAGGTGTTGACCTGCTTACATGAATGCCCTAGTTTCCTCTAACTAAAACATGTTAAAAGATGTATATCACATATACTATTAAGGTGATATGCCATACCCCATTAAAGTCAACCTAAGTATCTAAAATCAAATGAGAAATTATTCAAAAGACAATAGCACGTAACACCTGATGCAACAAAAATCTTCTATCTTTCCTAGCTAGAAAAACACTGGATCCTCAATTACACTATGTTCTTGCAACATGTTTATAACTGTGAGCAACTCTAAGGTAGGGATCATGGTCTATTTATCTTTCCTAGCATTCCAAACAGTGCCTGGCACATAATGTTTTTCCCCTCAGTAAATGTTTGTTGACTGTAAGTAGTAACTGTTCATAGTTTTAAAATTAAATTTTAAAAAAGGTTGTTGTGATGGTCTGTTTCCTCTGCAAAAAAGTAATTTTTTCATTTGTATCTATGGAATGGTATCTAATGTAGAACAGTATGTAATATAGAATGTAGATACCATTCTAATGGAATCTAATGTAGAACTAAATTTCTAGTCAGTAATAAAACATTCCTAGTTATACATAACTAGTAGGAATTAAAGAACAAAGCATAACAGAACTTATCTATAATATCTGTAAAGTAGTTATCAAATTCATACAAACTTCCAAGGACCTTATATATAAGGCCAAAGCAGGGTTGATAAGGCCAGGAAGAGAATCTTCAATCTTCAATTTATACAAACTCCTGGAGGCCTGGAGGATGCAAAGCTAAATTGAAGCAGTTAGAATGGCCTCCAGTAGATGAGCTCTGCAAGTAAACAGAGGTCTGTGTTGCTCCTCCCTGGGGCACTCTTATTAGAGAGAGTGCTTAGGTGGTCTGTGTGAACAGCACACTTTTCTGGCAATCCTTCAATAGCATGAGTGTCTTCTTAATGATTCCACCAATTCTTGACCTCTATTCTCAGTTTTAAAAACTTTAAGTTCAATAACTGCCTTCTATCAAATTTTTGTTCCACCTAAGAGGCTTGTGAAGTCACCCAGAATGGACGGCAATAAACACCAGCCTAAGTGAGCCTTACTTTTCGTGCATGGTCATCTGGCATTTTGGCTTTCAGATCCATGCGGACCTCTAATTCTTTGACTAAGTAGGACAGAGTCTGGCTTTTTCTGAAGTCAGTTATGGAACAATCAGGGGTTTGGGCCTCTTCTTCTGAAGAATAATCATCACTGTTGAGTTCGTGGATCCTGGCACAAGAAAAAGGAACAAGATTCATATTTTCAAAGTTTGGGTGATTTCAAGATAAAGACTTAACCTTTCAAGTCCAAGGCTGGTGCTCTCAAAGAACTGCCAGATGACAATCATGCAGAATCAAGTGCTTTGCCAAATCCATCAGCACTTGCCTGAGTCCTTTGTTTTCCGGAGGCAGAAAATACGTTGGCAATTCCTCGCCAAGAGGGACTCTAGGATAGCTTTCTGCACAATCTGCTCTTTTAGGCCAAAGAATATGCTGTTTGTCCTAATAAAGAGAAAAAGTTCTCATAAATTTTCTTGGATTCAATATTTCAACATGTTAAATAAACTTTTAAAAGAACATAAATATACTAGGATAACTGAACAATTTAGTATTTTAAAATAATTGTAGATACTGTGGTAGACTCTATAATATTCCTTCTACTGAAGACTATTAGTCTAAGTCAGTAATTCTACCTGCTTTACCATAGACTGGTTCAGGGCTGGGCAGGCCTAAGTCAGTTGAGCCTAATGAGATACAAGGAGAGGCTTGCTTGGGGATTCTGGGAAAGAAAAGCCAGTCTTAGTCTCTTTTGCCACATAGGAACAAAGAACATGTTGTTCCAAGTTGCTGCTACTGGCTGTCACCTCATGACCATGAGGAAGACAAGCTTTAGGATGAAACCAATACCGTGGATGGCAAATTGAAGAAAAGGAAAGAAATGGGTCACTGATGATATCATTGGCCCATTGAATCAACCAAACCCAAAGCTTGCTCTGATCTCTGGACTTTGTGTAATATGAAGCATATTTTCTTTTAAGCCAATCTGAAGTAAAGTTTACGATTTGTCCTGAAAGCATATATAAGTTTATAAAACTGGCACAGAAAACTACTTTTCCCTGAACTAAGACCTTTTCTTTGCCAATGCCAAAGTTTAACAATTGTTTTGATTTGTAAAGTGTTCATTTTCCTAAATATAAATAACACACATCAGAGGCTTACTAAACTTAAATCGTGAAGCTATCAAACTTTGAGGAATTTATTTTACATAGAATTAAATCTAAGTGGCTATATTAATTCTGATTGAACAAAAACTCGATTAAATTCTAAAAATTTAATATTGAATAAAAAACACACGGTATCTATCCTCATACCTTGGTATCCCCATGGGCTAACATACAATTATTTCTTAGCTAGCTCAGAAGTACATATTTATTGGGGCGCCTGGGTGGTTCAGTGGGTTGAACGTCTGCCTTCGGCTCAGGTCATGGTCCCAGGGTCCTGGGATCAAGCCCCGCATCGGGCTCCCTGCTCAGCAGGGAGCCTGCTTCTTCTCCCTCTCCCTCTGCCGCTCCCCTTGCTTGAGCTCGCTCTCTCTCTCTCAAATAAATAAAATCTTCAAAAAAAGAAATACATATTTATTAACTTATTATCTGTATCATCTGACAGAATGTAAGCTCCAGCAAAGAGCTTGCGTACTATATTCATAGTACCAGCCTGATGCACAGATGGGAGCTCAATAAAAGAAAGCTGATTAAAAAGTGGAATATAGCTGGCTCTTGAAGAGCACAGCTTTGAACTATGCAGGTCCACTTACACGTGGATTTTTTAAATAAATACAGTGCAGTACTATAAATGTATTTTTTCTTCCTCATGACTTTTTTAACATTTTCTTTTCTCTGGCTTACTTTATTGTAAGAATACAGTACATAATACCTACAACATAAAAAATACGTGTTAATATATGGTTTATGTTCTCAGTAAGGCTTCGGTCAATAGTAGGCTATTAGTAGTTAAGTTTTGGGGGAATCAAAAGTTATATGCAGATTTCTGACTGCATGGGGGCTAGCCCCCATGTTGTTCAAAGGTCAAATGTATATACAAGCATATACTTAGCTCAAGTTTAGAAACTTTCTAGGGTTGGCAATTATACTCAGAGCTCAAAGTTTTAAACTAAAATCAGAGTGTCTATATGCCCCACTTGATTGGGCAGAAGACCTCAAGGCAGACCCTGTGTCTTGCTAATCTATGACCTAGCAGAATGCCTTCTGTTTAATATAAGTTGGCTAAGTGTTTGCTGAACTAAGCTGAACAGTCACAGGGACCATAGTATTCAATGAACATGAGGGCCAATGCTTTCAGAAATCTTGTCTGAAAAAACTGCATCAACCTCTATTAACTTACCCTATATGCATCAGAATCCCTGCCCCAGATCCAGAGAATGGAATGGGCTACGGGAGAAGGCTTGACCAAATCACTGATATCACTCTGATTTGCCTGAACATCAAAATTCACAGACATCATACTGGAGGTTGATGAATCCTCACCAAACTAGAAAATGAAAAGAAAAGTTGAATCAAATGGGAAGCAGAAAAGAAGTTGTGACTAAGATTTAATCTAACCCAAAACATCAGTGAATACTGAAACCCAGTAGGAAATCTGAAAGTAGGTCAGTAATAAAGCGATCAGATCTTTACATTTTCAGAACTAGGCCCCAACACTATTCTCTCAGAAAATGCATAGTTAGCAACTTTCAATCAACTATGCCATTGGAGTACAAGAAAAATGGCATGGATTCTTCCTTTCTTTACTGTCCCTCTACTTCCTTTCTGTGATTTGGTCTCTTTTAGGTATAAAGGTGAGCTGATTCTCTAAGAGGTTTGGCTCATTATTGCCCTCCCCTATCTAGACTAAAATGATTGCTACTCTATAGAATTAGTGTGCTGTGGTAGAAGCAAGGGAACTTGAAAAAGGGCTCTCAGGAGTTTAATATAGCTATGACTTAGGCATCATAACTATTATACAATCAACTCCAAATATAAATACAGCCTTCCTCCAAACCAAGGTAAATCAATGTTTGATATTCTTAGGGGATACCCCAATTCCTGTGTATTTCTAAAACCTTGTTGGATAAGAGAATGGGACCAGGTTGGGAGGGAGTATAAAAGAATGGATTCTTTCACTATGTAACAGAGAGGCAACTTATGGATATTCAACACTGAAGCTACACTTTTACAGGGGAGTCTTCCAAATGGTCTTGAGACCATCATAATATCCAAGTTACCTTGATTTCCATCTCTAACATTTGTAAATATTATTCCCTTTTTTCCCCCTTAAATTAATGCTTGGATTTAAGACAGGGAGCTATAGGGACGACTGGGTGGCTCAGTTGGTTAAACATCTGCCTTTGGCTCAGGTCATGATCCCAGGGTCCTGGGATTGAGCCCCACATCAGTCTCCCTGCTCAGTCTGCTTCTCCCTCTCCCTCTGCTGCTCCCCCTGCTCGTGCTCTCTTTCTCAAATAAATAAATAAAATCTTAAAAAAAAAAAGGGAGCTATAATCTCAGATGTTAAATCTGATCTCCCTTGACTGTGTTCGAAAACTAAACATGGGATATCGCTAGAAACTAGTTGACAAAAATCGTGGGAAGCTTTTGGTCCCTATTACTACTTCTTCCCTAAATGGCCTCTTAATTTTTGCTTCTTTTTCTCAATGAGGTCTGGGTTTTTTTGGATTAAAGAGTACTAATTTTTCATGGTTTGTCCTACTATAGAAGCTGTTCTGATCTATTAATTATCTTAACTGCTTATCTCTGGAAATTCCTGTATCTATAATTAAAGACATGATAGGTTTCAATAGGATATGATAAATTTTACTTTATTTTCAACATCCTTTTGCATGATACTTGGAACTCTGGTTGTGCTTACTATCTGTATCAGCCCAATTAGATGCTCTCTGGTATCATTATAAATATGTATTATTTCTTCCCAACTAGTTAGCCTAGGATTGTATGCGTGTGTATGACTGCATGTATATGTATGGATATACACAGAGACAGAAAGAGAGAGAAAACATCCATGCATGTAGCAATAGTGCTTAATAAAAATTTTCTGTTGACAGGGCGCCTGGGTGGCTCAGTCGTTAAGCGTCTGCCTTCGGCTCAGGTCATGATCCCAGGGTCCTGGGATCGAGTCCCACATCGGGCTCCCTGCTCAGCGGGAAGCCTGCTTCTCCCTCTCCCACTCCCCCTGCTTGTGTTCCTGTTCTCGCTGTCTCTCTCTGTCATATAAATAAATAAAATCTTTAAAAAAAAAAATTTCTGTTGATAATGATCATTTTGTTAATGTTTTTAGTTGAAGCAACATAACTGGACTGATGACTTCAGGAAAAAGCATGGCTACTCTTTCCCAAATTTTAAATTACTGCTCTTACTCTAATAAGTTAAAAAGGAGATGAAGGCTTTGAGTTAAATACTAGTAACAGCCCAATATAGCTCTCATGGTAAAGGAGAAAAGAAAAAGACATATACAGCTAGTACTTGGGGGAACTGGAAATATCATGCATGAAGTAACTGAGAAATCTGACTATCTACGAAATATTTACATAGATAGTCTACGAAATCTGACTTCATAAACATACTCAAAACCTTAAATTAGTCATGAATTTGGGGATCAAATATACAAGGAATCGAGGGGGGGAAAACAATTTTACTCTTAGATATGCAAAGTTATAAAAACTAGAAGAGACCAAGAAAAAGACCTGAACATAGTCCACATTTTCAAAAATATCTCCACGATGGTAGCGCACAGGTTGGTCCCACTGGCAATGTAAACTATGCTGCTGGTTGACTAGACGGCATATCTGATGATTTCCTGGAATAAGAAAGGAAATTGCAATTGTTGAGAAAGATCAGCAATGCCAATATGATTTCATTTAGTTTCAGAGCCTGGCAGAGTACTACACAGGGAGTACTATAGAGGGAAACACTCATTAATGGTTAGCTAAATTAAATCATTCTAAAGAAGCCTCAGTTTCTCCACCTATAAAAAACAAAGGGGCTCCACTAAATCACCAAAATATCTTCTGGTAATTACATTCTATGACAGTAAAATCTACTGATTACATTGTTTTTAGAGACTTCTGCCATTTCTCTGGAGACAATCTGTTTTATATACTTCATAATTCTGTTTCAAAATTATATATAAGAGCCCTGGTTGTATTGTAGTTGCTCTAACTGTAGAGCAAGCAGTAAATAACCCCAAGAACTGAACATATTCTTTATATTCAAAATAGCAAAGAAAACGTATTAGGTGGATTGTAAAATGGACTTTAAATGGTCACAGCTAAGGTTCAAAGACTTAAGAGGGCTTCCAGATCAATATATATATCAAAGGAGAAGTATATAAGGGATTCTATTAATTTATTCTTTGGTGTCAGCTGTTAGATCTACTCCCTTAGGGTTTTATCAGAAATGAAACATTCTGGATATAATCAAGTCACTGATATCCTGTCAACCCAAGTGCCCTTAGACAGTAGTTCTATTTCTGGGTCATGGACTCTAAGAGATTTTAATAAAAACTATATGCCTTCTTCCCAGAAAAAAAATTGTGCACATACATATTACTGCATGTAATTTTGGGGAGGATTTCAGAACCACCTGAAACTAATCCATTGACCCAGGTTAAGAATTCTTGCTTGAGAAAAATTCTAGCCTAAAATCTTACTTCTAAAATAAAATATTTGTTTTTTTTTTTTAATTTATTTTATTTATTTATTTGAGAGAGAGAATGAGAGAGAGAGAGCAGGAGAGGGGGGAGGGTCAGAGGGAGAAGCAGACTCCCTGCTGAGCAGGGAGCCCGATGCAGGACTCGATCCCGGGACTCCAGGATCATGACCTGAGCCGAAGGCAGTTGCTTAACCGACTGAGCCACCCAGGCGCCCAAAATATTTGTTTTTAAGGGAGGAAGAAAAGTAAGACAGCCTTATTGCCAATGTTGGCTTGACAGTGTGGATGCTTTGTTTCAAGGGTGTGTCTGGCCTGTGTTTACTTGGTATGAGGCCATGTTACTCACATTGTGTTTTCAGACCAGCAGCAACAGACATTAAATAGGAACGTGTTGGAAATACAGAATCTCAGGTTCTACCTCAGACCTACTGATAACAATCTGCATTTTAACAAGGTCTCCAAGAGACTGGCATGCATACTAAATCAAAGTGGGCCGAACAACTGTTGTTAAGACTTCTAGGATCTAGGGCGCCTGGGTGGCTCAGTTGGTTAAGCGATTGCCTTTGGCTCAGGGCATGATGCCAGGGTCCTGGGATCGAGCCCTGCATCGGGTTCCCTGCTCGGCAGGAAGCCTGCTTCTCCCTCTCCCACTTCCCCTGCTTGTGTTCCATCTCTTGCTGTGTGTCTCTCTCTCTGTCAATTAAATAAATAAATAAAATCTTAAAAAAAAAAAAGACTTCTAGGATCAAAAGATTTAATTTTTACTTTAAAATGTGAATTTAAAGAAACCTAGAGAGACCAAACCAGCTCCCCAGGCCTGCTGGTATACCCGCTATGATGACTTGATTTTAAGACTGAGGGAAGTCATAAGCACAACTTTATACTGCTTTAGGGCTACACAAAAGTTATGAAAGTAGAACATGCTAGAAATGAACTTCCTAACCTGTCTTTAATTATTTGGAATCAATACTCACCTAACTGTGCCTCTTTTGCCATCTGTGTCTCATGGATGATATTTCTTAAGATTTGCTCTTCCTGAATCAGCTTATGTTTTTCTAGGATCTCCTGCTGTCTCAGGTAGTGGTCATGCTGTTTTTGATATTCTTTCAACTCATTCAGTGTTCGCTGGAGGGATCTTAACATTTTTTAACACCAGGAAAAAGTTACAGAGCTTCAAAACTGAATTTTTAAACCCACTTACTGCATAGATTTTTCTGGTCCTCAGCAATAATTGCTAGTTTTTTTTCTTTTAACATACAACCACTGTACCACAAGTTTAGAAATAATGGGGCAAAATAAATCTACTGTTCTATTAAAACTTAGAGGCAAAAAGAGGACCCAAAATTCTTCCCTTACATATGACTATCTTGACAGTAAATGGTGTGTTGGACTGTTCAGGTACCTAAAAGATACATAGCAACATAGTATAAATCTTGACATATTCAACAACTATTTCCCTCCATAAAGTCTGTGTTAGTTCCACAGACATTCAAAGCCACCTTCTCATCTTTTGATTCTACGTAAAGACAAGGTTAAGAGAAAGGGCCAACAGTACTTTGCTCTTGAACTCTAGCTCCTTGGGTTTGTGGATTTTGGAAAAAATCACAGAAACCTGGCTTAGAAAGAAATATTCTCTACTACCTGGTATCAATAAATCAGCTGCCTGATTATATTTAATCACAAAATCCTTTCTACCTATTACATTGTAACACATGGAGATTTAAGAGCTGTACAGATTGTGCATGAGAGAACCAATTTGCTCAGCCAGGACAAGTTCTGCAGAAGCCAGGTATAAACAAGTAAGTGGTCATTCCTCCCTTTTCACCACATTATGCTTTAAATTGATTGGAAAATAAGGAAATGCAATAGTTTAATGAGTTCCAAATCTCCATTTAATTCTCTAATAATCAAAGTTGCCTCAAAACATTGAGGCTAATTCCGTAAGAAGAACAATTCACTTTGAGTTATGTTTCCTAACAGGCCCTGCTACTTATGGAATCAAATACATTTTTATTAAGTACGTTGCAAGGACCAAGTACAACAGAACTTCATCACTGTAAATTTACAGAAATCTGATTAAAATATGGGCCAAATAATGTTTCTCAATGTCACTTAACTAACGTAACATTAGCCCAACCCTAGCAGCTAAAGAGGAGAAAGATCAAATACAGCACATGCAAGTGATTTTACTGACAATGTATTCTGTGGAAATTAAAACGTAACCGAATTACTAATTATCTGACAGCACCCCCACTCCATCTGACTTCATAAAAGTAATCGATGGTCAAAAGTATACAGACCTAAATGACAGAATTTACTGCAAACATTCTCTAGTTCCTGGAATTCATACTGTTAAAGATTCCTCTACACAACCCCTGAGTTGTGCTAACCCCTCTGGATCTGGAGAAAAGGGATAGGACTAGCAGTCGTGAAGAGGTGTTTTTAATTCTAAAGAACAAATGAACACTGGCATCACCCTACACAGGTCTAACCTAAGGTTCTACAGTGCTAGGGCTTCAGTGAAATTTTCTCACCCAATTACCTATGTTGGGCTTCCAATTTCTGCTCGAGTTTTTGCTGACAAAGGACAGCATGCTTCCTCTTTATAGCTTGCTCAAACCCAGGTTTGGCCTGCAAAGCGTGGTCATAACAGAGCACTGAGTGGTTATACTCCCCCAGCATCTGAAGAGACAAAAACAAACACACACATATACACACACAGAGGAGGAAAAACTTTAGCCACAGTGTAGGTGGATCTGTCCAAACCCCCTAATGACTTATGAGATCACACTTATATCTCACATTATTTTTGATCAGTGACCAAATCCATAACATAAGATATGCTGTAAGACCTCTTAACTAGAAAGTGTTGCTATCTCCAGAGGCATACTCTGCAGGAATTTATGATTCCTATTAATTTTTCTTTTTTGTCGAGAGGCTAGGACTATTAGGATACATTATTGTGTTGACTTATTTTCCCCCAACTTCTTAATTTCCATTCCCTTTTCCTTGTTCAGACCAAAAGAGGAAGGGGAAAAAGTTATTTTTTAGTTGAAAATAAATTTTTTAAAAAAGAAAATAGCAACTGGTTTGCTCATGAAAATAAAGTTGTATTTACTGCATATATATTTCCCAAAGTGTAATAGCTGGTGAAGAAGTCACTGTCATCCAGAGCTGCATGGACCACAACAGCAGCATCTGCAGAGAAGTGCGCTCTGTGCAGAACATTTGCCAAGTTGACCAGGGCAATGTCTTTATTGTGCCTAAAAGAGAAGGAGAGGAGCAATTAGGTGTTAGGAGAGAAGTGTGTGCTCCATGATTCCATATAACTACTTGATAAGGGAAAATTACATTTGAAGTTATTGAACTTAGGAAAATAACTTTGAGTGTACTGATAGATGGAGAAAATAATTTAAGAAAATCATACTGTTACATTTTTATGTAACTGATGGTGCTTATTCAATCTGACAGCTACAAATTTTGCCATAGAAATAAGGTCGGGCAGATATTTTATGATTTTAAAATGTATTTAGGGCTCATTATTTGCTTTGAGAAAAATTTAACTTATGCTAATTCCTCCAGGCAAGGTCCGTATATTCAAGTTTCAAATGAATCAGAGGGTGTCTACATCATATATTTTTTCCTTAATAGAAATCAGAAGAATTTTGCGCTATTAACAACTGTGAACTCTTTGACTTCTGTCATATTTTTGTGATGGGACTAAATTCTTTGAACAGGGGTAGAGGAGAGTGTAAGTACAACACAATGCTTCTCCATACTGTTTTCTTACATACTGCTTTTTTTTTTTAATATATATATTTTTAAAATTTATTTATTCGACAGAGAGAGAGAGAAGCGAGAGAGGGAATACAAGCAGGGGGAGTGGGAGAGGGAGAAGCAGGCTTCCTGCTGAGCAGGGAGCCTGATGCGGAGCTCAATACCAGGACCCTGGGATCATGACCTGAGCCGAAGGCAGCCGCTTAACGACTGAGCCACCCAGGCACCCCTTACATACTGCTTCTTTACCAGTCCTGAGATATGTGGAGAATCAGGAAGTCCAGAAAGGGAGAAATCTTACCTGGAAGAGAAGTGAAGTGCTCGCATGGCACATTCCACTACTTGATACGGCTCATTCTTTATTCTCCAATAAAATGAAGCCATGTTATACAGTACCCATGAGGAAGAATTCTAGAGATTAAACAAATAAGATGACAATCAAACACAACTCAACATACTTTCTTCGACTTAAAATGTTCAAAATGAGCACCTTCACTATTCAGTCTCTTCTGAAATTTAAGCTGAAGAATAAGACATTACACCAATGAATAAGCAGGGGACAAAGTACCAATAAACTACACCTGTCAAAAGAGCCGCCTGATCATCAGTTGGGCAAGTTAAGTGGCTTCAGGTGTCATCTCCACAGAGAGATCATTCAACTCCAAGCTCTTGTTCCAAGAGTTCGGAAATCAAGCTGAAAAGCCCACCAAGTGGCCCAAACTTGTTGGCTCCTATTTCAGGACTTTAGAAGTTAGGACCTAACCTACTTAGAAATGCCAGTTGTTCTAACATGAAATTCCTGAAATGAATAGTTTCCTATTTATTTATTTTTATTTTTTTTTTTAAAGATTTTTATTTATTTGAGAGAGAGAGAATGAGAGACAGAGAGCATGAGAGGGAAGAGGGTCAGAGGGAGAAGCAGACCCCATGCTGAGCAGGGAGCCCGATGTGGAACTCGATCCCAGGACTCCAGGATCATGACCTGAGCCGAAGGCAGTTGCTTAACCAACTGAGCCACCCAGGCGCCCTCCTATTTATTTAAATATCTGAATGAAGGTACATACATAAGCAAAAGACAGGTTTATCCTTTTGGAAATGATGAATTTTTATTTGTTCTTCTTTCATCTGTGTTCACAATACAAACCTTCACTGCTAAAAATTGTCTTTAGTATAGAGTAATAAGTCTATTACTTAGAAATTCAAATAGGTTTGCTCCTTCTGTGGCCTGGATTTTTTTCATTTTGTAACATATACTAAATTTCAACCACATAGAGGTCAAAACACTGAACTGGACCATGACAAAAACTCAATGTAAATAGTTTAAGCCTATGAAGAGAGATTTCAAATTCAGCATGGCAAAAAAAATCATACAAAGCAAAAAAAAAAAAAAAAAAAGTCATAAAGTTTAAGATAAACTGGGAAAAATATATATGACACCCATGGTTTATTATCTTTAATACATAAAGAGCTCTAAAAAGAAAGACAAGAATACAAGACAAAATACAAGAGAATATGGGCCAAAAACATGAACAGACAATTCAAAAGTACAAAACAATGGCCAATTAGCAGGAAAATAATATAAAACTTAACAAAGAATATAAATAAAAAAAGATACAAATTTTCCTTTTACAAATTCACAAAGATTAAAAAGAATACCCAACACTCACTGTTGGCTACACTGTATATTAACTTCAGATATTAATTGTAGAAATGTTAGGTGAATACAGCATTTCTGGGGGACAGTTTGACAAGATTTGTGTAAAAAGCCTTAAAATATCATTACCCTTTGATGCTCAAAATTCCATTAAAATTTTATCTTAGGGGGTGCCTGGGTGGCTCAGTGGGTTAAGCGACCCAACTCTTGATTTCGGCTGAGGTCATGATCTCAGGGAACTGAGATCAAGCCCTGCATCAGGCTCAGAGTTCGGAGCCTGCTTAAAGAAGCTCTCAATCCCTCTCCCTGCCCACCAATGCCCCCATGTTCTTGCTGGTTCTTTTCTCTCTTAAAAAAAAAAAAAAATTATCTTCAGAATAACTAAGTTTTAACTATAAAGATGTGTAAAAATAAAAATACAAAAGACTACATTGTAAGATAGTAATTATCTGAGTGTTTTTTTACTTCCTCTTTTACAGATTTTTTAATATAGTCTGAATTTTTTCCACCAGAACAAATTGTTTTCTTCAAAAATAGTTATTTTTAAGATTAAAACTAAGTATAATTCTGCATTAATCAGCCTTAAGTATTCTTTTCAAGGAATGTATAGGATTTGCAAGTGATGCAAATGAGGGTATAACACTTGTGTAAGTGGTTAAGGGATATGTGTCACGTTCTTTCAGAACTGACTTACGACTTGGGTTTCAGTCTGTTTTGACAGCCCTTTGAGAAAGTTTTTTTTTCAAATCAACAAATGCTTTGATTTTTATCTCTTATATTCAGACTTTACGTTGTGAGTTGCGACCAAAAAATCTATTACAAATTCTACATGAACAAGTGAAAACACCGTGATTAAGTAGAATACTCTGTACATCATAGTATATTGGAAGTAAGGGAAAAATAATATCTTTAAAGAACTTTTTCTGTTAGATTTCTCATAAAATTTCCCCGACAAATCTATAAATGTTTTTTTTTTTTTTTTTTTTTAAGATTTTATTTATTTGCGAGAGAGAGAATGAGAGACAGAGAGCATGAGAGGGAGGAGGGTCAGAGGGAGAAGCAGACTCCCTGTATAAATGTTTGAATGTCACTATCAATACTTTCTTCTTTTCTTGAACACTTTTTTTCCTTGGCTCTTAGGAGACCACATTCTTCTGGATACCCTTTCGGATCTCTTCTGCTGGCCTCTCCCCCTTTGCTTGACAGTTAATTGTGGGAGGACCAAGGACTCAGAGTAGCCTCGTCTCAAACTTCACTCTCCTCCAGATGACCTCATCTAGTCCCATGGCTACCAACACTCCCTACTTAATTATCCTCTATCTATATATCCAGCTCTGACCCCTCCTGGAGCTCAAGTCTCATTTAGGTATTTCAAATTTAATGTGACCAAAACAGACTCTATCTTCTTTTCCTCCACCCCAACCCTGCTCCTTCTTCAAGTTGCTCATGCCAAAACTTCAGGAATTATCCTCAATTCCTCTTTCCCCTCATACCCTACATCTAACTCATCAGCTTCTAAACTTCTAAACGTTTCCTGAAATAGTTTAAGTCCCTCCATTTCTAATACTAACCATTCTAGTCCAAACTATGTCATCTCTCTCCTGAACTACTGCCCATAGCCTTAGAACTGATCTCTCTGTTTTCAGTTTGGGTCCCTTCAGTCATTTCTCCATCTAAGTTTAAGAGTATATTTTAAAAAATATTAACTAAATTATGTCATTCCTCTGCTCTAGCTTCCCAGCACTCAGGTATCAGCACACAGAGTCCTCACCCTAGCTTTCAGAGGCCTACTTATTATGGCCCTGGTCTACTTCTCTGGCTGAATTCCCTATCATCCTCTCCTCTGCTCACCAGGCTCCAACCTTACTGACCTTCACCTGTTACAGATTGAATCTTTGTGTCTCTCCCTGCCACACCCCCCCGCCCCCATTTCTATGTGGAAGCCCTAACCCAGTGTGACTACATGTGAAGACAGGGCCTGGGAAGAGGTGATAAAGGTTAAATGAGGTCCTAAGAGTAGGGCCCTAATCCAATAGGGCCAGTTCCCTCATAAGAAGAGGAAGACATACCAGATCTCTCCCCCTACACATACAGAGAAGGGGACATGAGAGGACCCAATGAGAAGGTGGTCATCTGCAAAGCAGGAAGAAAGTCCTCAGCAGGAACCGAATCAGCCAGCACCTTATCCTGGACTCCCCAACCGCCACAATTACAAGAAAGAAGTTTCTGTTGTTTCAGCCACCCAGTCTGTGGTATTTTATGATGGCAGCCTGAGCAGACTACTATACTACTGAGCTCATTAAAGGCTTCAGAGCCTTTGCCTTGGCTTAGAATGCTCTTCCTTGATCTCAGACAGTTGGTTCCTTCTTCTCATTCAGATATTGGCTTAAATTTCACCTTTCCAGAGAGGATGAGACCAACTGTTCAATCTAAAGTAGCCACACAATTACCCTCTATTTTAATTTTCTATAGAGAACTTACCACTATGATCTACTTTCAACTAACCATCCTTTGAAGGATATTTTAAATCCTAGGCCAGTTTTCCTAGGTAGTTTTTATTACTCATCAAGTTCTGGGGCTGCAATGTTTTACATTACCTTCAGAAAAACAAGAAGACAGTAACTTAACTACAAAATCATATATATATATATATATATATATATACACACACACACACATACACACACACATGTATATATATATGATGTATTTGAATAAACTTATGTTGCCCTTTCACATTTGAATAAACTCTATATAAATGTTGCCCTTTCACATTTTACTTAGTACCATTATAATACTGCTTGAAAACTAGCCTCCATTTTGGGGTGCCTGGGTGGCTCAGTCGGTTAAGCCTTCTGCTCTTGGTTTTGGCTCAGGTTGTGATCTCGGGGTCGTGTGACTGAGCCCTGCATCAGGCTCCATGGAGCCTGCTTGAGATTTTCTCTCTCTCCCTCTTCCTCTGCCCCTCCGCCCGCTCTCGTGTGCTTGCTTGCTCTCTCACGCTCTTTCAAATAAATAAATAAGTAAATAAGTATCTTAGAAAAGAAAAGAAACTAGCTTGCATTTTATGATACAACTCAGGCACAGAGAAGAGTAAAAAAAAAAAACAAAAAACAAAACTGTTTTCTAAATTCCCACATGTTATGCGGAATGATACATTTAATTTCTTGGGTCCTATTACACAATTCCCTATTTCATGTTTTTAAAAGTAGATGGTACCTTAAAAGAAAATTTTAAGACTTTATTGTTGGTGGTGATTCTTTTCTTGTCCAGAGAACAGTGACGATCTATGTATTGGGTAGATATTTCAAAGACACTAATGTTAAATTTTCTTTCACATTCAAAATATATAATCTAGCCTATAAGCCCTGCTGCTTATCTTGGCTTATAATTTGCTTTTTCATGAATTAGTTTATTTTTTTATTTTTTAAAGATTTTTTTATTTATTCATTTGACAGAGAGAGACACAGCGAGAGAGGGAACACAAGCAGGGGGAGTGGGAGAGGGAGAAGCAGGCTTCCTGCTGAGCAGGGAGCCCGATGCGGGGCTCGATCCCAGGACCCTGGGATCATGACCTGAGCCGGACGCAGACGCTTAATAACTGAGCCACCCAGGCGCCCCTTGAGTACCCATTTTTATTTACTTATTTGACAGAGAGAGACACAGCAAGAGAGGGAACATAAGCAGGGGGAGTGGGAGAAGCAGGCTTCCCACCGAGCAGGGAGCCTGATGCAGGGCTCGATCCCAGGACCCTGGGATCATGACCTGAGCCGAAGGCAGACACTTAACGACTGAGCCATCCCGGCGCCCTTCATGAATTAGTTTAAATAAACCTTTGGCATCCCTTCCTGGTAGAGAGGACTAGACTACCGATGTTTCTCCCTAGCTTTGAACTACATAGTTTACATTAATGTAATCACAAAAATCATTCTCTAGACAAAAACAATCTAGACAGGTTATTTTCTGAGAAAAAAACATCTTTTGTGCACCAAGTCTCCAGCTCTTTCAATCACTGATGACTTACCTTCTGCAGGCCTTCATGAATGAGGTGACCTATATCATCTATACTTCTTCCTAGTCGTTTAGATAAATATGTGAAGACTGGATCTTCTTTAGGTAATAGAGGTGCAGAAAGATTAACTCTCTCTTGTACACCCTGAAGAGAAGAAGAAAAAAATTGAAAAAACAAAACAAAACCACATACACAGAAAAAAGAGATCACAAGATAAAAGCTCACAAGTAACTCAGTATCTTATAGCATTTATTTTAAAGGAGTTTTAAGAAATAGGAGATGTTTGTAAAATTATAAAGCTGTTTGGAAGGGGAGAAGAAAAAATATTTATAAGCAAGAGACTACATTACAGAAAAAATGGGAAAAAAAAAAAAAATCCCAAATCTCTCTACTTACTCGCAGGTGTTGAAAAGCATGTATACTATATGGAAGTTCTAGAATTTTTGTACAATCAGGTTGCGCAGGGTCCGGAGGGACAGGAGATTCTGTGTCTATATAATCTTCAGGGCTAAAATCAAGAAGCCGGGAGCAATAAATGAATGAAAGGTGAAAAAATGTCTAATTTTTCCCTAACTGAACTATATTCTCATAGCATCTCATCTTTACAACCAGTATTAGTCATCATTCAACCTTTTTCATGCAGCAACTGTTGGCAGGCAGTATTTTAGGAGTTTAACTTAAAGGAGATAAATCAAGAGACAGAAAATAGTAGGTAGACCAAAGAACGTTACGATTATGAGCTTTTTAAAAGTTTTTTTAATATTCTTCCCAGAAATGTTATATCAATTTACACTTCTGTTGACAGCCTCTCCACATTTTTACCAGTTACTGAATTTTAAATATTTTTCCCCATTTGATAGGTGAAAACTATCTAAATGGTTTATTTTGTACTTATTTGATCATTACTGAGAGAGAGAGGTTTTCCACATGTTTATTGGCCATTTGTATTTCTTTTACTATAAATTGTTCAATCTTCTGTGGTATTAAGTATTTTTAATTGATATTTAAGAATTCTATGTGTAGTGTATTTTGAACTTTCAAATTTCGATAAACTCATCTGTGATTGGAGCTTATTCTCATTAGATAAATAATTTCTTATTGATTTGAGAAAGGTCTATTCAAGAAAACGTTAATTTTATTTCTGGAAAGAGAATTTCTTTACCTGATGTCTTTGCTTTCCAAAGTTATGTATGTGCCATCATACAGATCCAGGTCCCCTAAGGGCACTTTGGCTTTGATGCAGTCTGGATCTTCTTTATTATGTCTCTGTTCCAGTCCTGTATCTCTGTCCTCATTCTCTTCTATATGAATTTTTTGAGCAACTAATTGCTTCTGTTGAGAAGATAATGAGAACACAATGGATTTTTCTAATATCTCAGTCTAGATACCACATAAGAGAAAGGAGAATTTAAAATCTTCTATGTGAAGGAAGACAAGGATTCTGAACAAAGTAGTCCCCCCCTTATCTGTAAGGGTATCTTCCAAGACTCCCAGTGGATGCCCGAAACCATGGATAGTACCAAACCCTATATATATTGTATTTTTTCCTATACATATATACCTATAATGAAGTTTAATTTATAAATTAAGCACAGTAAGAGATTAACAATAATTATAAAATAGAACAATTACATTATACTGTAATAAAAGTTATGTGAATGTGGTCTCTCTCTCAAAATATCTTACTGTACTTATCCTTCTTGTGATAATGTGATATAATAAAATGCCTACATGATAAGATGAAATGAAGTGAATGACGTAGGCATTGTGACATAGTGTTAGACTATTATTGACCTTCTGACGATAGGTCAGGAGGAGGATTATCTGCTTCTGGACCACAGTTGACCCATGGGTTACTGAAACCACAGAACGCAAAACTGTGGATAAGGGGGAATTAATTAGTTGATAATAAATAAGCTTCTCTAAACAAGTGTCCATATATAGAAAGTAACAGTATATGACATTTATGATAATGGCAGCTGAATACCTTCATAATAGGATCTCTGACTACCTATAAACTGCATCTATCAACTTAACTTCCCTGGAACAGAATGGCTCAGCAATTAAAACTACCTTGAATTGTCCACACATCATATTTCAGCCCTTCGAGACATCCAGCATGTTGATACTGTGGACTGGAATAATTTCCCCTAATGCCCTGTATTCCAGGTGAATTCCTGCTACTCACAATTTTTTTTCTTCAAACATATAGAGGAATTACATAAAAACCTAAGTTTCCACCACCCACCCACATCTACCATATGATAACATTTGCCATACTCATTTCAGATTTTTTAAAAAGGAAAAATAAGGTAGTCGAACCCTTTCTTTACTGCCTTCAAAATCCCTCTCTCCCTTCCCAAAGTTACCACTATCCTGAATTTGTTTGATGTATCACTTCTGTGTATATCTTTATAAAATATTACTATATTACTCTTATTCTCCTAAAATATTATATATATATGTATATATATCCATATATATGTCCCAAATCAACATCTAGCATTGCTTTCCAAGCTTAAAAACTTTATGTAAACAGTATCATCCTATATCATTTTACAACTTATTTTTTAACTTTGTTTTTAGTATTTATCTACAGTGATCAGTATAGCTCTAAATTTTTCATTTTAACAGATGTATAAAAATGTATTTATCCATTTTTCTATAAACCTTTAGGTTGTTTATCTTTTTGCTATTAAAAATGCTGTGATAGGGGCGCCTGGGTGGCTCAGTCGTTAAGTGTCTGCCTTCAGCTCAGGTCATGATCCCAGGGTCCTGGGATCGAGCCCCGCATCGGGCTCCCTGCTCAGCAGGAAGCCTGCTTCTCCCTCTCCCAATCCGCCTGCTTGTGTTCCCTCTCTCGCTGTGTCTCCCTCTGTCAAATAAATAAATCTTTAAAAAAAAAATGCTGTGATATTCTTTTTTTTTTTTAACGATTTTATTTATTTATTTGAGAGAGAGAGAATGAGAGAGAGCACATGAGAGGGGTTAGGGTCAGAGGGAGCAGCAGACTCCCTGCCGAGCAGGGAGCCCGATGCGGGACTTGATCCAGGGACTCCAGGATCATGACCCGAGCTGAAGGCAGTCACTTAACCAACTGAGCCACCCAGGTGCCCCAAAAATGCTGTGATATTCTTATAAAAGCCTCCTTGTGCACATGTGTAAAAGACCCAGAAGGGGTAAAAATATGGGATGCAGGGGTCATATGGGATGCACATTTTCTGATTTAGACACTGTCAATCTGTTTTTTAAAGTTGTTATAACCACTAGGATTCTACCAACAGATTATCATAATACCCATATCCCCACAAACTTACCATCATCACATTTTTAGTTTATGTCAGTTTGATGGGCATTAAATGTTACGATTATTGGGGTAGACTGTATTACTATTAATGCATCTGCTGCAACTCCTTACAAAGGAGTCAACACATCACTGTTCTGCTTAACTCAGATGTGGCCAGTATGACTTACTTTGACAAATTTAACATGAGACGTGCCATTGAATCCTCTCAAGGGAAACATCTTTTAGAGCCAGTGTATGCTTTACTGTGTTCTTTCTTTTCCCTCAGGTACTCAGAATGGCAATATGCCAGACAGTGGCTGTTCTGTCAGCCTGGGTTCTGGCATTTGGACCAGAGTGATATTTAATATGACCTTATTGTTTTAAGCCATGAAGATTACTGGGATGTTACTAAATGATCTGTTTCCACTTACTCATTCCCTCCTGACTCTTTTCCTGTAGGTAGGCTATACTATATACTGCCCTATGACGTCAGGCTTGCCCATGTGACTTGATCTGGAAGATGGAATGTGAGTAGAAATGATGTCACTTCTAAGTAGAAACTTTAAACAGGCTTGTATGTTTGGTTACTCTTCCTTGAGCCTCCACCTTCCTCCATGAAACAGCACTGAGATTTTTGGGACTGTTTGTTACCAATGCAAAAGTTGTCATCCACTACAAAATGTAGCCATCTTAACTAATGCAATCATTAATGTGACTGAACATATTTTCATATGTTTATGAGCTATTTTGTAACTTGACCTTCCAAGTCTGCCTATTTTTCCCCCGTTTTTTTTTATTGATTTGTAGAAATTTATGAAGAGTGATTCTGTAAACTCATTCCTTATCAGTTATAGGTACTGCAAATATCTTCTCCCAGCTTCTAGCTTATGTTTTAATTTTGTTCATGGTGTCACTTGCTAAAGAGAAGCTTTTAGTCTTAAGATGGTCAAAACTATCAGTTGTTTTCTTAATTGTGATTTCTACATTATTTAAGGAATCCTTCCCTATCCGAATGTCATAAATAAAATATTTACTGATGAAAAACTTAACAAAGTAATAAGGTAAGGGCAAGCACTAGAATAACAGAAATGTAATCTATAGTTTTAATCCGTGTAATTTATTTGTTAAACAAGTTGTGTCATTTGTTCTGCAGAGTCTGCCACTCTACAGGATTTTGCTGACTGTATCTCCTAGGTTCATTTAATGAGTCCCTTTCTTTGTCCTCTGTATTTCCTGAATATTGATAGCAGGATCCAGGGGTTCTTTTTTTTTTTTTTTTTAAGATTTTATTTATTTATTTGACAGAGAGAGACACAGCGAGAGAGGGAACACAAGCAGGGGGAGTGGGAGAGGGAGAAGCAGGCTTCCCACGGAGCAGGGAGCCCGATGTGGGGCTCGATCCCAGGACCCTGAGATCATGACCTGAGCCGAAGGCAGACACTTAATGACTTAGCCACCCAGGCGCCCCAGGATCCAGGGGTTCTTAACTCTTTCGTGTCACAGACTTCTTTGGCAGTCTAATGAAACCTGTAGACCCCTTTCATTTTTTAAATACATAAAAAAAAAATATAGAGAGAATGACAAAGGAAATCAATTATACTGAAAATACTACTTGAAAGGTAGCAATACTCTTAAATTTTTAGTATGTTTGCCCATAAATTTTCTAACAGGATTTTAATTTATTCAGTTAGTTCTACCTTCTCCTAAACATGACAGAAGAGTCTAACGGGCTTTACCTAATCACTGAACATGCTTCAACCCAACTATGTATTATTTTTACCTAGCTTTACCTTTCAAAGTGCAAAAAATAAATAATTAAATAAGTTTAGCAACTTCTTCATCAGTATTTTTACTCATCATTATACATCCTATGCATATCTACTGGGTTTACTTTTCTTCTTGTAGAAGTACATCTTCGATTTTTTTTAAAAGTGAGAGTCTGCAGTAAGTAAACTCTTTGTCAGAAAACATCTTTGTTTTGCCCTCACTCTTGAATGATGGCTTACAGGAACATAAACTTCTAGTTTGACTGATTTTCCCTTAGCACTCTGAGGCTACTCCTGCACTGTCTTCTGGTACTTTAAGAAGTCCATCTCGTTGTTACGACTTTGTAGATAAATGGTATTACTTAGTTTCATGGCCTTAAGTCTGTATTTCAGTGTCTAACAAATACACATCTGCAGCCTGTACCTTTACCCCAGAGTCCCCACTACCTTAATCAAAAACTGATGGAATCAACCTTTTTCATTTTTGTTTTCATTGACATGGTGAATGGCATTTTCCTCCTTCACATACTCTCATTTAAGTCTCTTTATATTATATAATACTGCCTCTTAAAAAAAAGAACGGCAATAAACATATACAATGTGTATATGCATCTGAAAATAAAATCTATTTTCTGCACCACTGCATTCTTTGAACACTGTGTTTAAATAAAAAACAGATAAAGCTTCCAAGCATGAAGCAGTATAAATACACCTATTGTCTTATTCCTACTTTTTCAGATAACTGATGTTGTTTGTTATTAAGCAAAATCAGTTTATGGAAATCAGTGATAGAAACAAAAAGGTCGCACTTTATTAGTACGAATAGATTTCAAGTTTTCAAAGTGCAAAGTGATTAATGCTTTCACCTCATCATAAAAAACACACAATAACAAGACCCTACTTGGGAATTAATAAAAAAATATATTTTTTATAGAGTACTGAAACCATTTTTCCTTTTTGTATTTTACCCAAACTCTCCTTCTAAGCATATGCAGAGAGATTATTCCTTTTCATACTTGATGGAAAAACTTATACATGGAACCCCTGTTCAAGGATATAGTGAGTCAAGAATCAGGCAAAACCCAGGTTAGTCTTTTTCTCTTACTATTGCTCAAATGTCATTCCAATTAGATGTTACTTTTAAAAATGTGATTAAAAGTATATATGGAACTGAGAAGAATCGGGCTTAAGAAATAATGAGCTTTCATTTTTCTTTGAATACAACAGCTCCTGTGAAATGCAACAAGTTTCAGCTGCGTATCACATTCCCATTGCCTCACCTCCAATTCTTTGAGGTAGTTAACTGTTGTTTCTTGTCTCATTAATATGACTAAGTCATGGGGATGCTTCAAGTTCATTGGTGAATCCACCTGCAAGGAAGCAAGCAAGCAATAAATAAAGCTCAGATTTCATCAACATTTGTTTGGATTCATAAAGTTTCCTTTAATATGCTTTAAATTACTGTTCAACCACCATTATAATCAGTATTAGGTGCTCAGTAAAACTCAAGGGGTATTTCAAAAGCGATCGCACATAAATTTCAGCAAAGAGAATGACATGTTCAATAGCTGCCCCTTGAATTCCAACATTAAAGAGTAAGTTTTGAAGCTAATATTCTAACTTGGTCAGTCATATAAGAAATATTCAAGAAGAAAAGTATTTGGCAACAAATGATAAAGTAAATTCCTTAAAAAGTAATTCACACCTATAATAATAAAAGGAATTGTCTTGTCTTGACAGAACATTCCATATCTGAACAGGTTTAGAGTGATAAAAGGAAAATACTAAAAGCACCTATTTTTGAAGGCTATTTGTGGAAGCCATAAATCAAAGTTAATATAAAATAATCTTGAGATTTATTATTTACAACTCATGTTCTCTGGATCATAAACGGGTGACTATGTTGTTGAAGATGTAGGAAAAATGAACCCTCATATGCTAGTAGCAGGCTTATAAATTTGTTCTTGTCTAGAGGGTCATTTGACAACATGTATCAAAATGTTAAAAGTGCATACCTTTTGATATGGCAATATTAACTCTAGGAGACTATCCTACAGACATTCTTAAACAAGTAGGCAAAAATAAACACAAGGATGCCTACTACAACACTTTTAGCTGCAAAAAAAATTAAACACAATCTAAGTCCATAAATAAGGGAATAGGGAGGGGCGCTTGGGTGGCTCAGTTGGTTAAGCGTCAACTTTTATTCTCAGCTCAGGGTCATTATCTCAGGGTCATGAATTCAAGCCCTGCATTGGGCTCAACTGGGTGTGGAACGTACTAAAAATAAAAAATAAGGGAATAGGGAAGTCCACTATCTAAAATGGATATAGAAAGACTAGATCTACTGTCATGGAAGGATGCTCACAATGTATAATTAACTAAAAATAAAGAATAATAAGTATACTATGATATTTTGTTTAAGAAATTACATATATATATTTATAGATATAGATATAAACATGTCTCTATATGCACAAAACTAAGTAACTTTATAGTGGTTTCTTTTGGGAAGAGGGATTAGGAAGAGAGGCACACTCACGTCTATATAGTTGTATATTTTTAAACTGTTTATAATGTAGACATAATACATTTATAATAAAGAAAAAACAACACACACGTGGACATACACACATGTTTTTCGAATTTCAGAAAACTCTGACAGTGGCCTTGGTACCTAAGGGATGAGATAAAGTTCCTGCATCCCATGGTGCTAGACTGGAACTGTCAAATTATATACCAGCCCTTCAGGAAGTTCCACTTTGAGGAAAAACTATCTTTTTGTAACCTCTAAGAAACTGGTATCAACTCAATTAATCAAATTGAGAGCTAGCTTTTTTTTTTTTTTAAAGATTTTATTTATTTTTTGAGAGAGAGAGAAAGAGAGCGAGCATGCGTGGGTGAGTCGGGGGAGGGGCAGAGGGCGAGAGAGAATCTCCAGCAGACTCCATGCTGAGCACAGAGCCCTACCCAGGGCTCAGTCTCATGACCCTGAGATTATGACCTGGCTTAACCAACTGAGCCACCCACGTGCCCCTAGAGCTAGCCTTTTAAGTGCAGAAGGTAGGCTTGCATAGATCTTGGTGATAAAAGACTCTATTAAAAGAAAGATTTTAAAGAGAAGAAATAAAAACATGAAATAAAGTTGGACAGTTGCTTTAATAATATGCATTAAATTGGACAATGTTAAGTGACTACAGATAAAACTCATCTGCCTTTGCTCATTCTACCATCTCAGAGACACCAGAGGAAAAAGAGATGCTAATTCAGAGTAACTTCCATACTTTTATTGCAATTATCTGAACTACATAATTATAACTGTATAGTTGTGAATAATTATCATCGCCCATGGTCTTGCTTTTAAGATGAGATCCCTTCACTGCTCCCCTTGGCCTTCCCACTATATTGGAATCTATATCAAAACTGGACTCTGAATTTAAAAGGCATTAAAAATACAAAAGCAAAGCCTATAGTACTTGACCACCTGAGCTGTAAATCTCCTCTACCAATCAATCAAAGCTAGCAAAAGCCTACAAGCAAAATGCTAGGTTTATCTCAATAAGAAATAGAAAATTTTCAAATACTATGAAACTTTTCTTTTCATAGTATTTGAACATATGCCCAACAGTCAAATGCATGTAGTGCAGGGAAAGCTACCATAATGGATTGAATATGGACTGATTTAACTCCAAAGCCCATCGATCTTTTTTACAACAATGTAATAAATTACAGCACACCATAATTTTTATAGAAGAAAATGTAAAAGCTACAGCCAGTGGCCAGATTACAAAAGAACTTTTCATAAAGATGCCAAAGAAAGTCTGCTTACTTTGCTACTTTGTCCAGAACTTTAAGAGGTAACTATTTAGTACATAACTCTATAAGGATTTTTAAATGAGGTTTTTAGGGGAAAAAAAAACAACAACAAAAAAACCCAACAAGATGGGGGAGGAATGAGGGAGTATGACATTCTAATTCCAAAATACCTAAACAATCTGTTCACCTGATATTTGGAGAACTGCAAGAGGAATGAAAGAATGAGATAAATGAAGATTTACACTGAAGAAATACTGAAAGCACACTCTTAGTTTTAGATTAAAAGGATACTAGCTAATCAGGGCTTTCTCATATTTAAATAGCATGGGATTGGCCAACATTCAATTGTGAGGAAGTACTTTTCATTTCCTTGAAGCTTTAAGTTCAACAAAGATATAAGAGCTAGAGGAGGTATAAAGGTAAAATTATTAGCAGAAGGAAGGAAGTGAGCCCACTGACAGCTGTGCTTCTCTTTTAGACATGGCAGCAAATGGCATGGATCTTTGCCAGACAAAGGTTGGTTGCAGATTTATAGCCTGACATGTATTTTTTATTGAGGTAACCTCAAGTTCTTACAAGTTAAGACTTTATAATTATCTTTGGCAAATGCCAATCGGCTTGAATTTCTCTCCTTTTGAATACCTCCCCTCCTTAGGTTACAAAAGAGAGTATGCCTGTAAAGACTACAACATCCATTCAGCCAATGAAGGTTTATTAAGCCTCTATAAACCAGGCCCACTATGTCAATATTTGAGGCCTATGTACTCCAATTTTATACACAATGTGAATGCCTTCAAAATCTTTAGCATTTAGAAGAGGCTGCTATAAGCCCAGGAGCAAAAAGTGACAGGAATTAGAGTGGTAGGTTAAAAAGGACATGACGTATACATAAGACCTCAAAGCACCTTATGGCTTTTTCACAAGGGACAAGCAACCCTACAAATGTCTGTTACTTCACAGCATAATAAATGATACTTGTAATGACCTGAATCATAAAGAAAAAGGAATTATTTTCAATTTGTTCTACTTAAGATGGTGAAAAATTATGAAATATATTTTAGAGCAAAGTTATACTGAAGGGTAAAGCTGACCAAATATTTGGAAATTAGCTATATGAAACTGTATTATACAGAATGATTCATTCTCTAAGAGTTCTCAATTCAATTTCATTTTTCTTTGAATACATTATATAAGTACATGTGTCCAATTATATATAACAGCAGTAAGTATCTTACTCATATCAAGTTCATTTTCATGTATTTCAAAATTTGCTGCTGTCTTTATCATTAATATCTACATTTCTAATCTGGAGCCCTACCTCTGTGAATTCAATAAATTCACATGGTAACAGGGGAATGTCACTATATAAGGATAATTACTTCAATGTCAAATCAAATAAAGGGTGAACATTTTAAACTTAAAATACCCAGTCTAAGGGTATAAACATTTTTGAGTTCTACAAAAGCATGAGTGAGTCCATCACTTTCCACTGGTCCTTTATGACAGGAAATTGATCATTTCCATTATAATATTAATTCCAGCTCTCATATGCAACTTATTCTTCACATATGCTGAACATTCTTACCTCTTACTTTTTGATGGTATTCAAATGAGTACACGAGAGCAGCATTACTGAAATCTTATATTACGCCGTACCCATTTTTAAAAAATTCCCTTTAATTAGAAACTAGGGATGGAATATTTTAAATCTTTTATTCAGAATTTTGGATTATTTACTGAGACAGTATGATGGAAAACATAAATAAAAATCTTCAAAGCAATGAAGATTTTACCTCTACTTTAAGTGATCCCAGTTAGTGGGTATTTCTAGTGTTTGCTATCTAGTATCTGCAATTCCCTTCTTGTGGAAAAAACACCTGCCTTGCTCGGCTGGAAGCATCTTTCCCCACATGGGAAGTCCTAATCCCAGTGAATTCCTTTCCCTTGGTCATGGTGATTATCTCTGAGAAGGGACATCAACCAAGTGGTCAGTTGGCACTAAAGAGACTGTAATCTAGAACTTCTGTTTGAGTTATGGGGACCAGTCATCTTGTATTCACAGGGGCCTGAGTATGGGGTTAAAGAAATGGAGAAATGAAGACAGAGAACAAACCTATCATGGTTATACTGTTTCAGCCATGGATCAAACTGTATCTGCAACACTTAGAATTTGTTCAAACATACCGATAAAAATTTTCAATATAGAAGTCTTGATGCTATTTCTAAACATCTGCTGAATTTTCTTAAGCCCTCTGCCTAGGGTATCCTCTTACTCTTGTGGCTCTTTTCAGACTTTCTCTCCCTTTGCACATGCTAATTCTCCTACTTGGAACACTCCTACTTGGAACTCCTACTTGGAACATAACCTTATGCTTTTGGTGAAAGCCAAACGACTGGGCTCAAATGACATTTCTCTTGTGAAGCCATCCTTCTCCTGAGCTCGCACGGTACTCTTCACATGCTTCTTTAATAGTGTTTATTATACTGTTTAATTATTGTATGTCTGTCTCTCCAAAAAAATTTTTTTTGTATTCATCTTTCTACTTCCAATACT